TCATTATGCTGCAGTACTGTACATATTTTTCTTAGTAATTAGTTATTTGTGCATATCATTATTTGTAACTTTAACATATTGTTGTGTGAGAAATGTTACTGGGGAAATAGTTCAGCCAGTTTGGAGGTGCTGTCCGATATCTTGGAATGAATTAACCATTGCTAATGGAAATTTACAAAGTCAGAATTGGAAGGTTTTATTCATTCTTGAATTTTTCCTTTCTAAAGAGCTCTTCTATTTATGCATGCCTAAATTTTTTTAAATGTAGAGGGATACTTGTCTTCATAATAAACAAAGCTAATCATGTTTTGCCACAATTTTCAGGTGAAAAAATAAATATTAGAAAATAAATTAGGTGTTTTATATTATTTAGTGTAGTGTTAGATACACACACATATGCACATAAGTGAGGAAGAAGTATTTATGTAGGTGTCAATTTGTAACATATACTATTCTATATTTAGTCTTTTAGACTAAATTAATTTGTTTTTATTATCCTAACTATGGTACAACTGCTTCTTAGTTATGACAGAGGTTCTCACAGTTCCTAAACAAGAGTGGTAGGATCTCCTTGATATTTGTTGGAAATTCAGTTTCTTAGCTTGCCCAGACACAATTTATCAGAAAAGGTGGTAAGGTAATCTGTGTTTTTAACAAGCCTGACAGGTGAGTCTGAAGCTTTTTGAAATTTGAGAGCCTTTCCTTTCATTAATATAGTGTTTTGCTTACATAATGTCCTTTGATCCTTATAGTAATCCTGTGATATATTATAACTCTTCATGTGTGTTCTTGGGGAGGTAAGGATTGAAGGGATTAAGTATTTCCTTCTGAGTTACACTGCTATTCAGCAATATTCCAAAGTATAATTTTTGGTCTTTTTCAGATAATATGTTGCTCTTTCCTTTGAATATATTCTGAAGCAATTTTAGTTATTTTCCTATTCCAGAGTTTTGAATGATTGTTATGTGATCTTTTAAAATTTTAATCAATGTCTCATGTGAAGAACACTTTGACAAGTTATATAACAGGACTAGAATTCATATTCAAATACTGTTTCTGCTAGTTTAACACTGGTTCCATCATATAGTTTAAAAATGAAATGTCCTTTTAACTAAAAATAAATATGTAAAATAGTTTTTAAATGCATAACCTAACAAACCTGAAATTAAAAATACAAAGAATTCTGTCAATTTAAATTCAGCTTCTTATGGACTTGAACCTCAGTATTTTAATTTTATTTTAATGACACATGCTCATTTAACTGCTTCTCAGTTACCAAAAGAATTTCCAAGATTGATTTGGAATTATTTCTGCCAAATGAAACAATGCTGTTCTGTTAGTTGTAATTTTCATGAGTCTGTTTAAATTAATTAACCAAATTAACAAACCATAAAATCAAGTATGTTTATAAAGACCCAACACCTTGTAATGACTTCTTTTGAAGCCTCTAGACAGAAAAATCTTAAAAAGAAAAATAGGTTACTTTAATGAACAAGACATGATGGATTCTTTAATAAATAGAAATTGCTACTTTAAGTTGTAACTAATATTTCTCTTGGCTACAGAAGAAAATAATTTGCAAGTTTGACAAGTCAGACTGAAATAATTAATGATGATTTAGGGTCATATTTTACTTTCCCTTATGTTCACTGTATCTTTATTTCAAAAGAATTTACATAATGTAGCATTTGCATTATGGAGAATAAAAATCTTGTCATGTTATATTACCCTAGCTTATCTGGTAAATGATTTTGAGGCTCTACTTGTTATATAAAATACCTTTAAAAACATCTTTATAGTGGTGGTTTTATTTTTCTTTTAAACTTCTTTGACTTTGGGGAGGATAAATATGTAGTGTACTTATTAAATAATTTCACATAATAATTCAGTGATCTCTGTAGTTGTTAATAATTCAGTTTCTTGATCCCACTCCTCTTCTTACTCAGATGGTCTTAGAAGAGAGCTTACAAATCTGTTGAAATGAGCACCAGCAGTGAATCTGATGAAGGAGTTCTTGGGTCTCAGTGTAAAAAAGGAAGAGAAAAATACTTCTTCAAGTTAACACCAAAGATACCAAAGTTAAATATTCCAAAAACTACTTTAGCCTCTGTTATGTACCCTGCTACTACAGCCAGGCCAGGCTGTATATCCTAGTTTTTTTATTTCCTCGCAAAAAAGTATACAGGTTGGAGTCTTGGAATATTGTATAATTGTTACTCAGTACAAGTGGGTACTACATAAATATCTTAGGATGGATGAATAGAGGAGACCCACCAGCTTAATGTTTAGAATTTCTACATTATCCTCATTCCATCCTTCCTTTGGTTCCACTGTCTAAATCATGTGTAGTTTTATTTTCTTTCTTATACAGATTTTCATGGAAGGTCCCATGTCTTGTCTAGACATTTTCATATTTCTCCTTTTAGCAGTATTTTACACATACATGGTCAGTAAATATTTATCAAGTAAAAATATTTCGTGTTTCTTTAAACCATACTAGATTCTCACCTCAGTGAAGGGGGGCACTTTATCTCGTTTTTTTAGCTTTCTTACGGTTTGAAAGTGACTATATGCTTAGAAACATTTGAATGAATAAATAGGTAAACAAAATAAGAAGTAACTTTATTTTAATTTAAGTTTGCTTAAGATATAAAGTTGAGGGTTACTGAGGTTTTATAAATAATAAATTTTATTTTTATGTGGAAGAAAAAAATCTACCTTGTCAAACTTGCAGTTGAAATGTTCCTACCTTTTACAAGAGATAAAATGGTAGATTGTGACAGATTTGGAACTGGTGAAGCTTCATCTGGGCATTATGGTTAACAGACTTTTCCTTTTTACTTAGTCTTAAATAGATTATGTCAGTAATTATGAGAATATAATAATTTAAGCCTAAATGTAGTCTCTTAACATTCTGTGAGGTAAAGATATTTTCTCTGTGCAAGCTAGAGAACCCACCAAAATCAGAGTTTTCTTTAGTCAAAAGTAAGAAAACAGAAGACATTTTCAAGTAAAAGCAACACTTTCTGAAATAAGTTCTATTAGTGTACTCTTTTAAAATGTTCATATGGATCAGGGATGTAGTTCAGTGGTAGAGCATATGCCTTTTATGTTCAGAGCCCTGGGTACAGTCTGTAGCATCATAAAAAGAAAAAAAAAAAAACATTTGTGCTTGGGATGTAGCTTAGTGACAGAACACTCACTGAGCACCTGCATGGCCCTGGGTTCAATCTCTAGTGCTGCAAAAACAAAACACACACATACATACATGCACATATATACACACATTTACGTATATGTATGTGTACTTATACACATACACATATGTGTATGCATTATGTTTGTTTTGAAACTACTATCAGCAACTGAGAGCTCTGATAAAGTGTGAAATCTCAAGCTTTTATATCTTTATTGTTAACTTCTGTTAAATTTTTCCAGTTGACTTAAATGCTTTTCTCTCCCTTTTTTCTAAATGCTTTGGAGATTTTTTTCTTTGAAGAAATTCTGATTTTTTTCCAGATTATCTGCTTACCTTTGTGTTGAATGGATGCTAAAAGAATATTAGTTATTTAAGCATTCGAGTTTTGTGAATGATTGTTAAGAGATTTTACTCCATTGTGAGTTTTAGCATCATATATGTGAGAACATTTTCTTTGATAATTTATAGATTGTATTAGCTTTCCATTGCTGTAATAAAATACTTAAGATAATCAACTTAAAAACAGTAAAGGTTAATTTTGGCTCATGATTTCATAAATTTGTTTTCATGTTCAGAAAGTCCCATTACTTTTGGTCTGTGGTGAGGCAGAACATTAAGTTGGAGACATGGTAAAATAAGCTGCTGACTTCATGGTGGCTGGAAAGAGAGAGGGTTAAAAGACCAGCTTTGACACATTTGAAATAATGCCCCCAGTGACCTAAAATCCCCATTTATCCTCACCTCTTAAAGTTTCCACCACCTCCTAATATTGCCAACCTGGACTCTCAGCCTTTATTTAATTCATGGGCATTTGGGGACATATAAGATCTAAATCATAGTATTCCACACATGGCCCCCAAGGGCTTATGTCTATCTCATCATGCAAAATGCATTCAGTCCATCTCCAAGAGTCCCCCAAATTTTAACCATTCTAGCATTGCTCAAAGTCCAATTCCAAAGTCCTCAGAGTCTCAAGGCCAACTCAAACCTTGAGTCCTTAATAAAAATAAAAATAGAAAAAGGTTACGTACTTCTAAAATACAGTGGTGCAGGGTAAACATTCTCCTTCAAAGAGGGCGGAATAGGAAAATAATAAGGAGTAATCAGACCAAAGAATACTGAAATGCAACATGGCAAACATTAAATCCTAGGACCCCATGTCTGGCATCTGGTGCACACTGTGGCAAGATGTGGTCTCCCAGGAACTCAGGCAACCCAACCTCTTCAGCTTTGCTAGTTACAGCTCAGGTGGCAACTCTTTCAAGCTGACCTTGCAGGCTGCCTGCAGTTTCCCTAGCAGGGACACCTAGGCAAAGTGTGAATTCACCTGAAGAGAATAAACTAAGGAAACCATTAGCAGTCTGTATTGGCTGCCTGTGGCTATGTACCTCCTCTCCCCTGCGTTTCTTTTATGATCTCCACCTTCCCCACAATTACTTCATTACTATGATAAAAATAATTTTGCTTTTTCATTTGGTCACATTTTTTCAAATTTATAGTATGAATAAAAGCATTATGAATGATGACTTTGGAAGAGAAATGCACAAAATTAAACACATTTTATAGCAACCATCGATTAGATATAAACCAATTTATAGGCCAATAATAAAACCATGTTAAGGATTTTTGTTTAACCTGCCTTTATTCTGTATATACTTTGTTCAAAAACATGGCACTGTGGAAGAATTCATACATTGGAATTTGTTTTGAAAGATTTATCATTGATTATATAAGATGATTTTGTATTGAGATATAATTTAATGAACTGGAATATTAAATAATCTGTTTTCCTTTATTGTAGGTGATGGTGTTTGTACATGCTCGAAATGCCACTGTAAGAACAGCTATGTCTCTTATAGAAAGAGCAAAAAATTGTGGCCAGATATCCTGCTTTTTACCTACCCAAGGACCTGAATATGGACATGCAGAAAAACAGGTAGGATACAAATTACAGCAAGCAATAAGGAACTAAAGCAAATAATGTGCCACAAATACCTGGTATTTTATATATGAAATATCCATCATCTACAAATTCTAAGACATTAATTTTATAGATTTATTGACTTCTTTCTTGACTAAATGATCTTTTGAAAGGTCCCACTACTTGATGTATTCACTTATTACTTCTTTTAATATGACTTTAATGTAAATAAAATAAGTAAAAATACTTATTCCTGATTTTTAAATTGTAATTAAAATGTGAAATGCAGTTAAATTTCAAAAAACATGTTATCTACTGGGTTTTTGTTCTTTTAAATAATTAATATTTTAAATTAATTTCTCAGTTTTAACTTCTGAGGTTAGTATTGACAGATATAACCTAAATAAACAAAAGGTCTTTAAAAAATGTAAAGGAACCCTGAAGCCAAAAAGCTTGAAAACATTACCTTACTAATTATTGCATGCTCAAATAACTAAAAAGCCATGGGATCACCTGCATTCTAGTTAGAAAATCAGATCCTCAGAATCTCAGGCTTACCAAATAAGAATCTACATTTCAACTTGTTTCCCAAGTGATTTCATGCACATTACATTTAAGAACTATTCTAGGTAATTTGTGTATTGGTACTCTTTTAAGATATATAGAAGATTTTATTTAATTATATCAATTTAATAATTTACATCAAGTTTGGACAAACTATGACAAAGGGCTTTGGGTGACCATCTATTTTTGTAATTAATGTTTTATTAGAAAACAGTCAAATTTATTCTTTTATTATCTATGACTGCTTTCTTAGACCCACAGAGGGAAGAATTGAGTAGTTGTGACAGAGACTGTAAGTTACTCTCTGTCCCTTTGCAGAAAAGGAATTCTGATTCTAATTTAAAACTATGAAAATAAATTTTAAATTTAAAAATCCTTTGACATAAATAATAGTAATTTCAACATTTTTATATTCATAACAAAAGATTTAACTGATCATTTACAGTTGCCAGACATTGTCTTTATACTTCACATTTATTATCTTAATAAAACATAATTTTCATGATTGTACTGTTTTATTTTTTATTTATTTATTTTAATTAGGTATATATGACAGCAGAATGCATTTTCATTCATTGTATACATTTGCAGCACAACTTTTCATTTCTCTGGTTGTATACAATGTAGCATCACACCATAACTGCAGTCATACATGTACCAATGTTAATGATTTCCATCTCATTCCATGATCTTTCCTGGCCCCTCTTTATTTTTTTCACTTTATAAAATATTTTAATAAATAAATTTATTATATAGCTTTGCATTCTTCTGATTGTTAATCGTGAATTTATTAGTTTTTGGAAAGTCAACTTGGTATTTGCAAATTCTATTTTATTTCTTTAGAAATAGAAAGCAGCCCTATTGTGTTTAAAAAGCCAACCTTTGAGAGCCACCTTGTGGATTTCTGGTTACTGCATACCTCTTATTTCTGAGAGCTATTGGTATTCTGTATAATTTATGTTCCTTTTTCTAATTGTTGTAATAATATTTAACTCTTATTGAATGTTTCTGTTGCTTAATATAATTAATTCAGTCCTCACAACAACTGATGGTGGAAATTGGTTCTATTTTTCCTTGATTATGGCATATCTGTATTCAAATATGCATGGAATTTATTCTGTGACATATAGTTACAATTTATACAGAAACATTTTTATGTTGTGTTTATTTAAGGCAGTGTCACCAATCACAAACTCACAGATCACTATGCTGATAAAGAAATAATACAAGAAATGGAAAGATTTAATACAGTTGGGGTAGACTTGAAACTACCTACTTATTATTATATCTTTTTTAAAAAACTTTTTTAAAAAATATTCTTTTCGTTGTAGATGGACACGATACTCTTATTTTACTTATTTATTTTTATGTGATGCTGAGGATTGAACCCAGTGCCTCACTGGGTTATTAAATAGCTTTTCACTGAGTATCAAACCTCAGTGGTGAGGCAAGGACTCTGCCACTGAGCCACAACCCCAGCCCAGGTTATTATCTTTTGCATAATTTTATTATATTTGTTTTTTATCCTGATTCAACTGTTACTGGATTTAAAAAAAAAAAAAAGAATGAATTCCTAACACATCTGTTGTATATGTGTTTTCAAGAAGCATTGTCTTGCTTACCATTATATTCCCATCCCTTCACGTAGTGTTTTTCTAATAGCAGGAATCCCCAAATTACTTTTTTTTCTTGCTTTTATTATTCTAAGGCAGACATTAGAATAGGTGCTTTCATTTTAACTTTCTCATACGATCTGCACTATTATTCTGTCCTTTAAAGATTTTTATACCCATTTTATAGATAAACTAAAAGGGAGAGTAAATAATTTTCCCAGACACTTCTATCTAAATCATGATTTGAACCAATATGACTCCGAAGTCCACCCTTTTCACTATACTGTGTTCTGTTTATTCAAAAGCAAAAAGATTGGATCCCATATGGGACTTCTTAAAGTCTTTAGGGTATTGAGTTGTGTTTTCTTTTCTTTTTTAATGAAATAGAAGAAAATTTCTTCAACCTAACTCTATCCCTTACTTCTCCTAAAGATATTTTAAAAAGTGAACTTTTTCACAGTGCGTATTATAACAAAAGATAAAATAATCTTGCCAAGTGTAGTGGTGCATACTTGTAATTCTAGCTACTTGGAAGGCTGAGACAGGATGATCCCAGGTTCCAAGGTCAGCCTGGGCAACTTGGGAAAACCCTGTCCAAAAAGGGCTTTAGATTTAGCTCAGCGAGAGAGCATTGCCTAGCATGTGAAAACCCTCAGTTCATTCCTCCATATTGCAAAAGTGTGTGTGTGTGTGTGTGTGTGTGTGTGTGTGTGGAAGAGAGAGAGACAGAGACAGAGAGAGAGAATTTTCTGAATGCTTTCTCCGAGTCCCAGAATTTAATTTTTTTTATTGGTAGTCCTATTAACTTTCTAACAATTCCAAGGAAGCTATTATTGCAGTGATAAGAGATATTTCTTCCTACATTTTGGAAAGTGGGAAATTAAGCACTCAAAACATTAAAATGAAATTACAAGGTACATCTGCAAGTATAGTACATAGAAATTTAGCCTCATGACTCCTGTTAATGGAAATACAGTTTAATCCCTGCTGTTCCATACTTACTGTACCTCAGAGTGTTTAACATACCATCTCAATTCCTCTGTTAACAAGAAAGACCTTTAAAAGCACTTCTTTATAGTTTTATTTAATATGATATAACCTTGTTTGTTTAAATAATAAAACTCCACTAAGAAACCTTCCATTTTCCCTTCTGTCTCTCTCAAGATTCCCCTAATCATTCCCTTCACTAATACGAAAGTCGCCCTCATAAGAAAATTCACCTCTATTTCTAAATCATCCACTGAACTAAGAAGACAGAGAGAGAAAAGTGAAAAGTGAAGGGCCCTGCCGCAGTCCGGCTGCAGCAAAATAACCGGGGGGTGACGAGGAACTTGCGTAGATTGATACAGCAGAAGTGGGAGCTGTTTATTGTAGGACAGGAGGGGTATATATACATTCCACACAGCTTATCTTAATTAACATAAACTAGATACAGCAGTCAACCAATAAGGAATCTCCACACTTAATGGCTCGCTGGCATTACTTCACAAACCAGTCCCCCTGGCAAAATGCTAGGCGCCATCTTGACTTGTTTACAGACTCTAACAGGGCCCCAAAAGTAGCTTGCAAGATAGAGATGGAACTCAAGGTTTCCTCTTGAAAGGGAGTATCTCATGAATTCCAAATGAGGCTCAAAACAAGAAGTTGATAAAAATCTGGTATGATTTCAACTCTAGAGGCTATAAGACCTCAGGCATCTAAACATTTCTGAAACTTACTTTCTCTTCTATCAAATGGAATGATCATGGAGTATTTAATACCTATTTTAGTGGAGTTTTATGAGAAACAAGTGGGATGGCTTTCAAATCATTTTGGAAACTGGCTGAAACTGATAAGACTTTAAATATCATATTGTAAAACTCTATTTTTAGAAAACTTATATTGATAATGAAATTTTAAGGTGGTGAAAGGAAAATGAGCAGTATGGATTCAATTTTCCTAATTTACCCTGCATAGTCATATTTTTTGTTTGTATGTTTGTTTGTTTTTGTATTTGTACTATGGATTGAACTCAGGGCACTTGACCACTGAGCCACATCCCCAGCCCTATTTTGTATTTTATTTAGAGACAGGGTCTCACTGAGTTGCTTAGTGCCTCACTTTTCCTGAGGCTGAATTTAAACTCTCAATCCTCCTGCCTTAGTCTCCCAAGTTACTGGGATTATAGGCGTGTGCCATCCTTCTAAGATACTGTCTCAAGCAACCTCTATGCAAAACACAGTATACCTCAAGGAATAGTAGCAGCTTATATTTGTAAATGTGTCAATAGGATGTAGATATTTTTATTATTGAGCCATTGTGTTCAGTTATGATTTTCATTTTAAGTTAAATGGGTATTTGAGTTAGAATCTTCATATTCTGTTTCATTCAAGATATCAATCAAATCCATATTGTTTCCCTCTTCAGGGACAAAATTGTACATAAGTCTTTAAGAATTCTGATATTGTATCTAGTATTCCCACACATCTCTGTACTGAATTCTTCTGACTCATGGTCCCTGAGTCATATCATGGGCACTTTGATTCATGGGTACGAAGTATATATATATATATTAGTGATATTGAGAATTTTAGTTTTAGTTAAATATGGTCTGTCATGCAATAAGCCTAATGAATGTAGTTACTGGGAGTATCTATTGAAAAAGTTAAAACAATAAATACCCTCAAGTTACTTTGAAATATAATTTTATGACTTTTTATTATCTAAATCTATAATAATCTTCTTAATTTCATAGATTCAGCATAGCTTTTAAATAAGTTGATGGCAACTAAATTGGTGGAACTTTGCTTAATACTAATAGCTTTTTCTTTTTCTGCTTCAACAACTTAAGAGTATCAC